GATTGGTGAAAAACGTTTCGCTTAACTTTAATCGGAATGTTGATAATGAGACAAGCCAAGCAATAAGCGAGCAACAAATGCAAATGTTTCTTGTTGCTTTTTTGCCAGACGTTTCCATGGTTCATTCTTTGACAATGGTCGACTTTTCCACAGAAGAAAAAACGCAATTGTGTTAACATACAAGGTAGAAATTAGCCGGTTTGAAATATATTCAAAGGCATGAACTGATCAGAGAAATGCATATTTATATACGTGGTCAAATGATGTCAGAGCACGTAATTACGACATCAGATTTATATATATATATATATATATATATATATATATATATATATGTGTGTGTGTGTGTGTGTGTGTGTAAATAATTCTTCGTCTTTCCAATTTAAGAACTGGAATAATATAAATAATAAGAAAAATAATTATAATAATATAGGCAACAATAATAAAATAAATAAGTCTCAACACACAAGTTTAAATCATCACCACGAGAACGTGAATTTCATAATGCTCTAACAGTCATTCGGTATTTCGCACCTGAAGATTGCAAGTTTGCATGAAACTCCGAGCCGTGCGATCGAAGTTGGATATTATGTATATCTACTAATATATATATATATATATATATATATATATATATATATATATATATATATATAAAGAATAGTATTGGGGAGAGTGTATGAGAAAGTGGAAAAGTTTACTTTTGATTTGACGCATTTCGTTCTTCAGGACTTCATCGGCTAAATTTGTTATGTTGATAGGACGACGCATGTGCACGAGACAGAGAAGTGCTGGGAATTTCAGAATTGCTGAAATGCAACTCCATAAAATGTATATTGTAACAAAGCCGGAAATGGCTTAACTACATCAAACAATCAAACAAGTGAATGACAAACAAAACAACAAACTGACACGAAAACTCAAAAACCTATGAAGCAACAGCAAGTGGAAAGCCTAAATTAAAGCTTTCCAATATAGAACGAGAAGCCCTCAGCTTCTGTTTAAAATTTGCTACCAGAATCCGCGAAGGAGATATATTAGACACGATAGTAAAAAAAAAAAATCATAAACAAAACGATTCTGATTTCACCAAATGTTTCATTCAAGGCATAATCACTGTTACTATAGGAACCAACAACGAAAATACATTACCACTGAGACGCTTAAGTGCACTAAAGAACCTATCGAGAAATAAGAAAATCCAGATCACTCCCTCTAACAAGTGAAGGGGGATTGTGATCATGAACAAAAATACATATAGAAACATTTAACTGACTACTCAACAATACCGATACATACGAAAAAATAAAGCAATAACTACAGAAACACAAAAGATTAACAAGGAAATCAGGAAACTAATTAAAAATAAACACAAATCGTCATAGAATATTATCCTTGAATACCCAAACTTCATGGTCTCCCTAAACCACACAAAATTGGTATCCTAATGCACTCCATTATCCCAGGAATACACCCCCTCCGAAAACCATAAAAAAAATTCTAACACCTCTTCTTTGAACAATCAGTTCATTTCATATAAACAACTCAGGAAGCCTAGTTGAAAAAAAAAATAAGGGAAATGAACATAACCGACAAACACATGGCCAGTCTAGATATACCCCCGACACCAACGTCCCCGTTGAAAAATGCCTAAATCTACTAAGAAAAGCATCTAACACAATCAAAGATTAAGCTCTCTCTCTACCAACAGCTAAAATAATAAAAATCTGCCGTCTCATCACCAATTAATGCTACTTCACATTTAAACAAAAATTTGGATTAACAATGGGATCACCTCTCAGTGTCGTGATGGCATGTATCTTCTCTAATCCGGTCCTTTGCAAAATATTTTACGCAAACAGTCAGCATACTTCCGTTATATTGATGATGCTCTACTAATATATCCTCGTGATACTGATTTACCTAGCCTAGTAGATAAATTAAAACATAGTCGAACACAATGAAATTTACATACGAAGTGGAAGAACATAACTCTTTACCCATTTCTAGATATCAAGCTACACTGCATTAAAACAGTTTTAAAATTGGTGTCCACCGGAAATCAACCAACAAAAACGACCTAATTAATTTCTATTCTCATCATAACAACAAAATAAAATCCGGCATAATCATCGGGTTCTACATAAGAGCACTAAAATATGCAATTTAGATTATTTACACGAAGAGGAGAAATACATTGAAAACATTTTCAAACTTCGCCAGTACCCTAATTATTTAATATTCAATGCGAAATAAAAGGCCCATAAAATATTCCGACACAAAAAACGGCCCCTCCTGAGTAACCCAATGAATAAAAAAATATTATCCTGTCTACTAATTCTATCATATCTACAATCGAAATGAATCTGTATAAAATAAACATAAAATTTGTTACTACTATATCCAAAACAATAAAAGACTTAGTCAATATTAAGCAAAATAATAATATAAAACCTGAAGGAGACGTTTACTCTATAGCCTGTAATAACTGTTACAATAATACATAGGAGAAACATCAAGGAATCAGAGATTATATGAACACAAAAGGGACATTTTACAAAATAATACGTCAAATGCGTTGGTTGCCCAATGTAACGAAACTGATCACAACTTTGACATAAAAAAATGCTACTTTTATCAAAGGAGAAATAATTCATTACGAAGTAAGTATCTAGAGAGTGAGTTAATGGCAAAGTCATCTACAGCAAATTTACGCCTTAGCTCTTACAACATTTCACCATTCCTGGCAGAACTTCTATTACCACAGTGTGGGATATCTACTAATAAAAGTTATGGAAAGAAAAAAGAAAAAGACTTTAAATGAATTCGGTTAGATTAAAAAAAAAACAAAAAAAAAAAATTCCACTGTTGTGCACATATAACAAATTTAGTTCAATGGAGGACAAGTAAACTTTTTTCCATTTTGTCATATATATATATATATATATATATATATATATATATATATATATAAAATGGACACTGACGTCAACGCCTAACGGTGGCAGTCTGTTTCATGTTGAACAAAATCTTCAGGCCTGAAGATTACGTTAAAGTATGAAACAGATTGTTTCTGTGTATTTCAATGAGCTTCACAACAATTGAAATGAGCATAATATAAATATTTTATATGCATACATTTTTTCGCATTTTTAAAAATTTTGCCAATGCACACACACACACACACACACACACAGATATATATATATATATATATATATATATATATATATATATATATATATATATCAGTAAAGAAAACTGCTAAGAGGCTGGAAAAATACCGCAGCGCAAAACGGACGTATATCAAAATGTTCTCGGTGCAGCTGCCTTGAAAAAAGACAATCAAAAGACGTAAATATAATAAAGAAATAAAACCACCTTATGTAACCGCACACAACCTTAGTTTTGACTGTCAGGTATCTTCAGATGGCTGGTAATAAGTGTTCGTAATACTACAATTAAACAGCTATGGTACCGGAAGTAGAGAATGGTGGCGGGGTATAGAAAAAATTTCTTCATCCGGGATCGTAGAAACCGAGAATGTTTTTTTACTTATATCTCTACACCTGGACATTATTTCAGTTCTGTGGTTCTTATAAGTTGCTCAGCTTCTCTTCCTGGAACAGCCTACAACTTCTACTACTTGTTCTTCTAGGTTTGACTTGTTTTAAGATACACCAATTTATGCTTGGGTTTCTGCCATGTTCATACTTTAATTTCCAAACGTGGTCTGCTAGTTTTGTATTGTACCTAAGTTTCTTCATCATGAAAGTGGAAGTATGAGTATACCAATGTTTCTTGGATGGGCCTTCAGTACAACCTATATAGATCTTCTTCTGGCTACTGTCATCGCTAAACCACCCTTTATATAGTGACCCATTGTTATATATATATATATATATATATATATATATATATATATATATATATATATATATATGGCCCATTTGTCTCTTTTTTGTGGTTTGCATAAGCCACTAGTGAATTTTAGGATGCGGGAAGCAGTTTTAGTATTTTATTTTTGTTTTAGCTTGAGTTTACATAATTTTATCTATTTATTTTATTTATTCAATTTAATTTTTTGCGTACTGTCTTCGTTTCAAAAAATTGGTATTTGGTTGGACAGAAAGTATATTAATTTTAATTTATAAGGCATTAGTTGTGTAGTCATTAGAGCTGAAATGTGGTTGTTGCTGGGGAAACAAAATTCTAATAACCCTATTGTGTTACATACACTCTCATCAAAGCTAAAAGTTGCCATATATATATATGTGTGTGTGTGTGTGTGTGTGTGTGTGTGTGTGTGTGTGTGTGTGTGTGTGTGTGTGTGTGTGAAAAGTGTGTGTATATAAATATAAATATATATATATAAATATATATATATATATATATATAATTATTTATATATTATATGCGCGGTACTTATAAAGCGCTCAATATCAGAGATAGAGCTAACAAATGCGTATGTATATAGACAACAGCATACATATACATACATATGTCAAATCCTATACTGTCAACATATGTTTATGTCTGTATGAGTCCCGGCAGACGAGCGAGTGTGTATGTGTGTCTGTGTACCTCTACGGATGTACAGACATGTATCTATCTTTGCGTTAGCATGAATGAATGAATACACGCAATCTACATAAACCCAAAATTTAAAAAAAATTAATCAGTTTCTCTGACGATCGCAAAAGCGTGAAAACCAGGGTCACAAACTCACATCAATCCAACCAAATATATATATATATATATATATGTGTGTGTGTGTGTGTGTGTGTGTGTGTGTGTGTGTGTGTGTGTGTGTGTGTGTGTAAAACGTCATGAATTCCTAAAGGAAAACAAGAAGAAAGGACTAACTACTAGTTATGAGAAGACTGAATGTTTGGTCATCCCCAAGAGATGCTGCTAAAGGTGTGAGCCTTACTAGAACTAGAGACATAAAAATCAATTCTCGGCGTCGTGTAGTAAAACTACAACAGAAAATGTGAGGCTTACGACCATATAACGTTAAAACACCGGTTCCCTTACGATCACTGAATTTAAGCAACGTCGACCCTGGTCAGTACCTAGATGGGTGACTGCTTGGAAATATCAAGTGCTATAAGCTTGCATGTGCGGTTGGTGTAATGGATAATGGCTCGGAATTTGGACCCGGAGAGCCGAGTTCCAATTTCAGCTGGGTTCGTTATATTCACTTACGCACAAATGGTGAAAGGTATGAAGGCACCTCATCTCCCCCCCCCAGATATGGGTTAATTCGTAGAACTTCCAACAGAAAATATTATCTCCTCCAGAAGAATTCTTACAATCTAAATAACTTTTCTAGCTGTAAGTGACCAGCAAATAGATGATAAGCTGTAAAAACTAAATCAATCAATCTCTCAAAGAAAATATGGCACAGAAATCCGAAGATACATATCTCCCAGAAGTAAGCAAAGTATTAAGTCACAGGAATGAGTGCTGAACTGTTACGACATATCTAATATCCTACAGTGAATTCTGGTCAATTACCTTTCAGATGAACAAGAGACCTGAAGTAGGAGATATTTTTTTTATTATTTCGAAGTACACGACGTTTCGACCATGTACCCTCTGGTCATAATCAGTTGTTCATTGACTGGCTTTAATTTGCTAAAAAAAGCACATGCTAATAATAGAGAGATGACATGATAATAATAGAGAGAGGACATGTTAAAAACTTGTAGAAATGTGTTACCTGTCTTCTATGCGAACGAGGACATGATCTTACAAGAGGCTGTATCTATCCACGCGTCAGGAATTTATCTTAGCGGCGTCTACACGAACTCTGTGTTTCTGCAGTAACTGGGCTTCAAAAATTGGCCGTTGAGGGTCACATGTTAGGCCATGTGCCGTGTGTACTGATCGGGGAAGAGTAAAACAAGTTAACACTACTATTTCTGGATATTACACAAAATGAAAGAAAAAAGAAGAAAAACCGATAGTTATTACACTGATCCAGATTGTAGAAAACCAAGACGAAACAACTAAATCAGGATTAGCAGAGCATATGCAGAAACAAAGAGGAAAATACGAAACCTTCTTTGGTATTAAATACACAACTAAGATCAGGAAACCGTCAAATAAATGTTGCAACTCGTAAATGTTTCAGAGAACAAAAACAAAAGTAAAAAAACAATTAGTTCATAAACAAAATATATTCACATTACATTATATCGAAGGCATATGACAGAAAACCTTTTTAATACTTAAGACCTTCCATATAAGGCAATAACTGAAAATATACATTGAATACTATCGCAGTCTCTGTGTCTCTTAAGCAGTGCCAGTGTGTGTGTCGAGCAATGTTTTTGTTTCTATATTTGTATCACTGTGTTTCTATAGCAGTGCTATGTGTCTCCATAACAGTGACTTTTTGTCTCCATAGTCGTGTCTTTGTGTCTCTACATATTTGTCTGAGTCTCTGTCTCTTTGTGTCTCTATATCTATGTCTTTGTGTCTCTATAGCCGTTTCTTTTTCTCTATATATCTATGTCTTTGTGTCTCTGTAACTGTGTCAGTGTCGTTTTGTCTCTATGGTTGTATCTTTGTGACTCTTTTACTCTATCTGTGTCTTTGTGTATCTCTAGTTGTGTCTCTGTGTGTCTCTATAGATATTTCTGTGTATCTTTCTAGATATTTTTGTGCATTTCCATAGATGTGCCTTTGTATATCTGTAGGAGTGTATCGGGCACCTCAACGTAGTTAGTAAGCTTGGCTCGCTAGATCAATTACAACTGAGTAGTGAGTTCGATCCTCACTGGGTGCTCCATACTTTCAACCTTCAGCTACATCTAAACTTTGCTTAGCAAATTCCTATAGCAGTATCTTTGTGTCTCTATAGATGTGTTTTTGTGTCAATATAACTGTTTTTATGAGTGTCTGAGTCTTTCGATGTAACTCTGTGTTTCCATAGATGTCTACGTTAATCACTATAGCCATGTCTTTGTCTCCCTATAACTGTGTGTCTATTAGGCAGTGTTTTGTATATATGCGTCTTTGTGTCTCTGTGTTTCTGTGCATCTATAAGTGTTATTTGGATTCTCTATAGCAATGACCATTTCTCTGTCTCTTACAGCTGTGTTTTGTGTCACTCTAGCTGCGTCTCTGTGTCACTATAGATTTTTCTTTTTGTCTTTATAGATGTGCCTTTGTGTCTCTATTGCCGTGAACTTTTATCTCTATAATAGGGTATTTGTATCTCTATGTCTCTACGATTATAACTGTCTATATACACTATTTACATTATTCGGACTATCATCTTTGTCGCCATATTTATTACAACGTTTCGGCCTTTATTTCGTTCACTGTTGTAGACTGTTCTAGTTCTACGTGCCATGTTTAATGGGTGTCAGTTTTCAGTTATCTTTTGTTAATTCCCTTCTCCAAGTTCTCAACTGCCTTAACCGGGTATTGAACATACTCTTTGGGTCCTGTCACTGGATCTAAACAACGCCTTTATCCACTGTGCTATGTGTCCTTGAGAACATCTCTGTATCAATTTCTGGGTATTATAAAACTAATGTCATCAGCAACCATTTTTTTACCAGTGTCCATAATTCAATTTTTGCTGTTATCATTACATATTTTTACCAGAGCTCATATTGCAATTTTTTTTGTTATTATCGCCTTTATCTGATTTTCCGTGTTACTGGTTCCCATATTGTATTTATTTCTATGCTTGGTCGGCTCAGGAAATTTTCGTGGCCTACCATATGTGCTGATTCCTTAAGTTTACGAATTTTCCAATGGTGTTCCTTGTCAATGATCTCAACCTGATCCCACAGAGGGTGGTGATCTCTCTTCTCTCCCCATATGTGGTCAGCCACGCCTGATTTTTCTACCTCCCCTCATGTTACAGCTTTCTGGTGTTCTTGAAGCCTTACCGTAAGAGGGCGGCCTGTCTCTCCTTTATATTCCTTTCCGCAGCTGCACGGGATAGCGTACACACAGTCTTTAGTCATGTTCTCCTCTATGGGGGGCCTTACTCGGGAGAGATATCTACGAACTGTCGTTCATCTTTTGAAGCTTGTCCTGGTGTTATATGGACCGCAGATCCTTTGTATTTGTGATAAATATGGCGACAAAGATGAGGACAATAGTCCGAATAAGGTAAATAGTGTACATATTTCTCATCTCAGAAATATAGACAGATACTCTATCTCTGTAGTTGCGTTTTTGTGTTTCTATAGTTTTGTCCTTGTGTCTCTTTAGCTGTGTCAGCAATATTAAACTTTCGTTTATAAAATGACGGATTTTCACTTGATATCGCTATTGTTTTAACTACCTTTTATCCTCGGCAATGTTCGTTGTTTTAAAAAGCGATGATTAGAATTTTAATAAAAACCAAAAATATGAAAGTGAATTTATATATATTTTTTATTTTTGAGAACTTACAACAAAAAATTATTAAACGCTATATATTTATTAGAATGAATATTTACAAAATTAATTTTATATTTACAACATTCTTAAAACGTGAACCATAGAAATGTGAGCCAATTAATATAATGCAATGTTTATCATTTATCAATTTATAAATAAATAAATATGAAAATATATTTTTTATTCATAAATTTATAAAAAAAAATGTCTACCAAACATTAAATAAAGATATAACGGCGAGTAACTAAATAAATGAAAAAAATGATTTTCCGGCATTTCTTTCATGCAGCAGTTCATTGGTAATTTTTATAAAATTACGAAAAAAAAATGTTTTCATAGTTATTTATAAAATGGTAGATAAAACAATAAATCTTGCATTGTTGTTGGTTTACATATTTTGATAATTAAATAAAAGAAATTGAATAAGATTTCTTTTCACATTTATTTCTTTGTAAATGGTAAATAACAAATCTTTATTTAAGGTAAATAATAAATATCGCATTGTGCTTGGTTCACATATTTTTATAATCTTGTAAATAAACATTCCCGATGAAGAGAAGCTGGTATAAAATAATAGCGGTGACAAGGGAATAACCATGCTTTTGATAAAACTTTTTTTTTTTTTTTTTTTGCAGGCACGAAGGTTAAAGTTTGCCGCTGTTTCTTTCTGTCTCTTTAGGAATGTCGTTATGTCAATATCCGTGTGTCTGTGTCTCTATAGATGTGTATAGTGTCTATATAATTATGCCTTTGTGTCTCTAGTTGTGTCTCTATATATTTGTCTTTTGTTTCAAAAGCTCTGTCTATATTGCATTATATTTGAATCTATCTAGCTATAGTCTCTGGGTTTATAGCTGTGTCTATATTGCATTATATTTGAATCTTTCTAGCTATAGTCTCTGGGTTTATAGATGTTTCTATATTGCATTATATTTGAATCTTTTGTAGCTATAGTCTCTGGGTTTATAGATGTTTCTATATTGCATTATATTTGAATCTTTTGTAGCTATAGTCTCTGGGTTTATAGATGTGTCTATATTGCATTATATTTGAATCTTTCTAGCTATAGTCTCTGGGTTTATAGATGTTTCTATATTGCATTATATTTGAATCTTTTGTAGCTATAGTCTCTGGGTTTATAGATGTGTCTGTATTGCATTATATTTGAATCTTTCTAGCTATAGTCTCTGGGTTTATAGATGTGTCTATATTGCATTATATTTGAATCTTTCTAGCTATAGTCTCTGGGTTTATAGCTGTGTCTATAGCTGTATCTGAGTGTCTGTTAGTGTCTCTGTGAGATTATAAGTGTTTCTGTATTTTTGTAGGTGTATCTCTGTCTTAGCTGTGACTCTGACAATAATAACAACAAACATAATATTCGCAATTCATTTTAGAAGCTCAAAACCTCCATAATTTTAGACGGCAAAATGGGGTGAAAAATGATTGCAGATATATAAATGCGTTACATTTTTGTTCCTTCTTTTTAAAAAAAAAAGTAACATCGTCAATTGACACTAAATATCATTTTCAACACGATGAAGACAATAATGAACATAATATTTTTTTCTAAAAATCACGCCCTGACGTGTTCTTTTGGAATCATGAATTTGAGTAAAACACTTTATAAAATTTTAAAATTTTATTTCTTTGTATAGAAATCAAATTATTTTCACTAGAAGCAAAAAAAAAAAAAAAAAAAAACTAAAATGCTCATTAATCAACGTGGGATGGTTTTAGTTTGGGGGAAATTCTCCCAGTGCCATATAAAGAAGTAATTTTTTTTTTCATTGAATAAAGACAGACCAGCTAGGAATTTTCAAATTATAGAAAAATTTTAATAATAATAAATATGGAAAAAGAAAAAGAAGCAAATCATATTTGAACAATGGAAGCAAATTGGAGAAAGAGAAACGGTCTTATTTGTAAGAGTAAAAAATAAAAAAGCAAAAAAACAAAATGACCATTGCCAAGAGAAGATAACTGATGGTTTATTCTGTTGGAAGAATGTCGAAAAAGCGAGGAAATGATAGAAAGGATCTGGATATAAAAGCAGAAAATGAAACAAACAAAGACGTGAAATATTTTTTTCGCATTTGTAAATGCTTAAGGAAAATTCTGTTTTGATGGTCCGGGTAGGGGGAGAGTTATAGACTGCGAGTCATGCGCACACACAGACAAGATGAACTAATACACAACTCAAGTATATACTCAGATGTGAAAGTGAATACTTACAGGCTGACAATCAGACGCAAAAAATATTATCTATCTATCTATCTATCTATCTATCTATCTATCTATCTATCTATCTATCTATCCTAGTTATTGTTCTCTCTCTCTCTCTCTCTCTCTCTCTCTCTCTCTCTCTCTCTATATATATATATATATATATATATATATATATATATATATATATATATGTATATGTATATATATTAATCATTTCAGCTCAAGCGAGACGATAACGCCACTAAAAGGCAAGGGGCTACTTTTTCATATTTTGTTTTCCAACGAGGTTCACCTTTTACAAGGCCTGGGGGACCACTTGCGGTAGTGAGAGGGAAAGAGAATGAAAAGTCTTCAGGAGGAACCAGGAACCCCATCCTAAACAGAAAACAAGAGATAAACCTCTACCCATGTTCAAACATATATATATATATATATATGTGAATATATATATATAGTGTGTATATAAATATAAATAAATATATATATATATATATATAATTTTATATATATATGCGCGGTACTTATTAGAAAGCGCTCAATATCAGAGATAGAGCTAACATATATATATATATATATATATATATTAAAAAAAGAAGAGTGCCACAACGTTTTTGGTTGTAATGTGGATTTATTGAAAAAAATTATACTTTGTTTACATAATTTCAGAATGTTTCTGGTCGAGAATATTCCCGTCTTCACATGAAGAAAAATTTTTATTATTTTTAAAAATAATTAAAAATTCTTCATGTTCACCTGAAGAATATTCTCGATACCAGACCATTCACGTTTCGTGAAATTATGCAAAACAAAGTATAATTTTTTTTCAATAAATCCACATTACAACCAAAAACGTTTGCGGCACCCTCTTCTTTTTTAATATACATACTTTTTCTCTCGTTGGAACCACTACAACATATTTCCTTTATATATATATATATATATATATATATATATATATATATATATATATATATATATATATATATATATGATGTGTGTGTGTGTGTGTGTTATCTTTTTTTTAAAGTAATGGATTTTTTATTCAATAATCCGACATATTTTTTACCACTTTAAACGTTATTTTTAGTGTAAACTCATATTTGAGTAGACGCTCGGTTTATTTATTAAACAGTCTGCATGAATCCCTCGATTAGTGCGATTAATTTGTACATCGGTAATTATAAAACAATCAATTTTCAATTACTATGGTAAAACTGAAGAATGTTTTAGCGCACTAATCAAGTATGTTGCAATAATCGAATTTTTGGTATATAAAAATTTTAGCGCACAAATCGAAAATGTTTTTATCGAATGCGCATTAATCGAGGAATTCTTGTATATATATTCATAAACAGTAAAATATGTCGAGAGATAGATATACAGACATAGATTTAAAAAAATTTTTTTTTTTAAGCATATCACCTCAGGCAAGGCGGGGGTGCTACTAGCACGTATGGGGTTACAGAGAGTGAGAATAAGTTTAAAGAAGGTTTTTGAGGAAAAGAAGTAGAAAAGAACGGGGATCAGCAACAAGCCATCAGAAGATGTTGATTGACATTACATTTGAATATTTGAAGATTATAGCTATCAGGGAAGCAAGTAAGAAGAAGTGAGTTCCACTGTCGGGAAGTGCGAGATAAGAAGTTGTTGGAGTAGAATAGACGGTTACATTTAACAATTTCGACGGTAAAAGGGTGGGACCGATATGCCAACCAAGTAGCACGTTCAGTTTCTTTATTAAACAGTATACAGGAATCCCTCGATTAGTGCGGTTATTTTGTACATCGGTAACTATAAAAAAAAAAAATAGAATGAAGAATGATTTACTGCATTAATCGAATATTATGCATGCACTAATCGAATTTTGATATATAAAATTTTTAGCGCACAAATCGAATGCACATTAATCGAGGGATGCCAGTATTTATTTATTTTTGTCCACCGGCCTGAATATTCGAGAAATATATGCGCTTTCCGGCAGGATTCGAAGCTGCGTTTTCTTAGGCAGAGGGAAACCGTCTTTAGATCCAACATGCCTCGACCACGGAGAAGGTATGTCGGATCTTACGACGGCGGCCCAGGGCGACGCAGGTTCAAATCCAGCCGGAGAACGCATATTGTGTTTTTAATATTTTTCGAATATTCAGGCCGGTAGGTGAAAATAAATAAATATGCAGTTTTATAAATAAACGGAGCGCATCGGTAATTATAAAACAATCAATTTTCAATTACATATCCATACATCTATCTATCTAAATCAATTACTATCCATACATCTATCTATCTAAATCAGTTTGTTCATATCTTTCTATCTTAATCTGTCTTTTTACCTATATTATTATGTCTTTCTATCGATGTAATTCTTTCTTTCTTTCTTTCTTTCTTTCTTTCTTTCTATCTATCTATCTATCTATCTATCTATCTATCTATCTATCTAATTCAGTCTGTTCGTATCTATCTATCTATCTATCTATATATATATATATATATATATATATATATATATATAATTCAATTCAGAGTGTTCGTGTCTATCTATCTATCTATATATATATATATATCTAATTCAGAGTGTTCGTATCTATCTATCTATCTATCTATCTATCTATCTAATCTGTACATATCTATGTTTTAATCTATCTATATTTCTATCTAATTCAGTCTGTTCATATCTATCTATCTATCTATCTATCTATCTATCTATCTATCTATCTAATTCAGTCTGTTCGTATCTATCTATCTATCTATCTATCTATCTATCTATATATATATATATATATATATATATATATATATATAATTCAGAGTGTTCGTATCTATCTATCTATCTATCTATCTATCTATCTAATCTGTGCATATCTATGTTTTAATCTATCTATATTTCTATCTAATTCAGTCTGTTCATATCTATCTATCTATCTATCTATCTATCTATCTATCTATCTAATTCTAGTCAGTCTGTTCATCTATCTATCTATCTATCTATCTATCTATATATATATATATATATATATATATATATATATATATATATCTAATTCAGAGTGTTCGTATCTGTCTATCTATCTATCTATCTATCTATCTATCTATCTAATCTGTGCATATCTATGTTTTAATCTATCTATATTTCTATCTAATTCAGTCTGTTCATATCTATCTATCTATCTATCTGTATATATATCTACCAATATATTCTTGGCAATACACAAAAATGTTTTACACTTAGACTCATTATGCAAATACACGCACATACACATAGGTGTGCGTGTATATATATATATATATATATATATATATATATATATATATATATATATATATATATATAATGTGTGTGTGTATATTGACTCAGTCACGTATATACACATGCACACACGCGAGCCCATTTAAATTTGCCAACATGCATTGAGAGAAATTGCTGGAAAGAGAAGGTGGAAAAGTCGGAAAATAATCGATATGTAATTTAGAAATCTGATGTTGAAATATGTGTAAGAATCGATAATTTTAAAGAATCCTATTCGATTTCATTTTTTTTGCAGATGAGCTAACACCAAAATCTGGAATAAGAAATGGACGCATTAAGAATTTGATATATTCTACCTAGACACAGGAATATTTGATTTTCAGAATGTAGATATTTCAGTGAAGTTACTCCGCCAGAAGACCCAAAGGGGGAAGAGATGCACTGTAGACATCGCCAGTGGGAATAACTTGCTAGTTGTTGCTGCACTAAAAAGTGAGCGACTTTAATTTTTAATAGAAATAACAATTCAGGCGACACACAGACACACACACACACACACACACACACACACACATAACGTTTATTTATGCAGCAAGAATTCTTTTAGACAACTTTTGTTAAACAATACCCACAAGGCCTGTCTGTCCAATTTTATATTGAGATTTACAAGTTTGTTTCTTTTGAATCATTTCTCAAGCAAGGCAATAAAGCCACTAAGACACAAGTGGTTACTTAGTGTCAGAGAATATACAAGAATATACTATTAAGGAATGAAGACACTAAAAGAACAATAATTAAGAAGATAGAATATAACTATTGCCATTGCATTTAAATTTAAGTTATTTGGAAAGAAAAACCCGGAAGAGAGTTCCCCAAGAGAAAAGTGCGATAGAAGAAATTGTTAGCATAGAATATATATATATATATATATATATATATATATATGAATAAAAACAAATTTATCTTAGTTGACAAATTTCGTCCTCTGATGGACTTTATTAACGCAAATATGTAAGGATTTTATTTTACAACAATTTATAAACAAAAGAAAAAATATTTTTAATTTTTCAAAAATGTTTAAATTGTAGAAACGCTCATAAATATTCATGAGGCAAACTGAAAATTTAAGGAAATTATGGAAGACGTTAACTGACGTAATTTACTGCCTAATAAACAAAAGCGAGTAAATGATGTTGAATATTTTTTTTTTAATGTAAGTAATGTTTATATATATGAATTCATCCGTTTTATTTCAATTTCTTAACATTTTTATAGTCATTCTTTCAGGAACGAAGATAATTGAAAAAATCCAAGGGGCAGATTTATATTTTGATGTGAATCAATAGCGGCAGTCTCGAGAATTTTGCCTCTAAATAAGTTTCTCTTTTTATAAATGTCGCATTCTTTAGATGAAAGTTTTGGTTGAATTTATTTCTATGCATGACTAATTCATTTAATAAAAAATCCTTTTTTTACACATCTATTTCAGTTATATCCTAAATTTTACACACACACACACACACACACACACAGACATAAATATATATATATATATATATATATATATATATATATATATATATATATATATATATATATATATATATATTTACAAGTATAGGTTGTTGTATACGAAATAAAATCCAATAACCAAAAAATACTATTTTTAACAGAGTGTGCAATACAGCGTAGAACAAATATAATTTATTCGAAAATTACAACATAAATATGTTATAAAATCATCATTTGATAAGACACCAGAAGTATTGAAACAAAATGGCTATTTTTGTAGTGATTTTATAACATATTTATGTTGAAATTTTTGAATAAATTATATATATATATATATATATATATATATATATATATATATATATATATGAATGTCTATGTGACTTGAACGTTCGCTTTCTGACCGTGAAACCTGGGTTCGAATCTCACTACGGTTGATTTATCGAGGTGGATCCCTTTGGGAAGTGCCTGAAAACCATACTACGGGTTAACTCAAGCCTTGTGAGTGAAATTGTGTGGATGGAACTCTTGGAGGCCGTCGATAGCTATGAAGCCACATTGTTGATCACGCGAGATAACACCCTCTCTCTCCCTGTAACTAAGGTCAGCTTAGCATAGTTGCAGTATTGTGTTTGAGTTGACCGTCTGCAATAGGGATTGGCTAGCCGCCCAAGTAGACGGATATCCTCGAATACGAGTGGCCAGCTATATATATATATATATATATATATATGTGTGTGTGTGTGTGTGTGTGTGTGTGTGCATTGAGGACTTTTTTGCCTGTAAGAAGATTTTGGGCAGATTCTTTTTTTTTTATAATATTCTAAATGCTCTGACGTGTCTGTTGTTGTCCGGTTCAGTAGAAGACCGATCCGACCCCGTGTATGCGGGGTCTACGGGAAATTTTTGCCCGAGCCTACGGGCTTGGATTTGCCCCAATAAAATTTGGCCTTGTGCCTTTTGGGAGGTTGATAAATACCACCGACTGCCCGCAGCTGGCAGCGTGATCTAGCCGCGCGCAGGGCGCAGTTCTTGTCGAAATCTCTGCCCGAGGGAAGAGAGGAATCCAGACGAGGCTATATAAGACTTGGCCTTGTGCTGCATCCTACCTAGTAGGGAGGATGGTAAATACCACTGATCGCCAGTCGTCGGCAGCGTGAGCATACCGCGTGCGGGGCGCTGATCATGTCGAACTTTCTGCTTTCGGACAAAGAAGAGCACAGATGAGGCAGAGTTTCGTCTGGTGTGGTAGACAGACCCTGACGATTGCGTGCAAACGCATGAAACTAGCAGTCGTGGCCAGTCAATGCCTACCTGGATTTTGATTTAATATACATGCATACATATATACACATATACAAACACACACATATGTATGTATGTATATTCAATCAAGAAGTCAAGAAGTTCTGTCTGTGTAATGTCGAAGCTTATGTCTCAAACAAATGAAAAAATCAAGGGGAGTAACTGGTTTTATATGTTGCTTATGGTAAGGAAAATATGATAGAATTTATTTTAAAGAACGTGCCTCTGGTTTACGCAATGAATTGAGTATTGGTTTAAACTTGGTGATAAAATGTTTCCTTATTCATACGCTTTTGTTCGGTGGTTTTTTAGTCGCATTGGTAGAATGGGAAGATATTAAAATTTGGCAGATTTTGCCCTCCTCACTCCTCTATATGTTGGCTAAGGGTTTTTTTGTGTGTGTGTGGGATCCCTTATTTGTTGGTGATAAACTTTTATCCTTTGTCGGAGTGTCAGGCCGGTTTTACCAATGTAATGTTCGTGATCACCTTTGCATGTTAATATATATAGCAAATTCTCTGAGTTGCACGAAAAATCATTTTTAATTTTGAATTTGAATCCGTCTTTGACGTGAGATCTGCGGCCTTCTAATACGTAACTGCATACGCTGCAGAAGGGTCGGTTGCTTCTTTTCACCTGAGGCTCATTAACTGTGGTCTGCAGTTTTGCACTCGTCAGTACCTTTTTTTTTATTGGTTTTGGTTGTCGTTTACTTTTTATGATTGGGTATCTTTGTAATAAGTTCTCAATTTTTTTGTCCTTTAGTAGGAATGGTAGATTTAGTTGTATGTATGTGTAGATATCTGTGTTCTTTGGGTTGAAAGTTGATATAAAAGGGATGACCTTTTTTTTTCTTTTTGCTTCTGGAGTGTGTAGATATTAATTTGTTTTGTTTTTTCAGTGCTATTTTTTGAGGGTATTTTCTCTTGATGAGTATTTTTCCATCTGTTCTAGTCTGCGGTCTCTTGTGGTTGAGACTATTGTACATATCCAGTTGGCAAGGGTGAGTAGGATTTTGGTACGAGTGTCATTCGGAAGGGAATATATAAAAAGGAGATACTGTCGAGAGTCAATAGGTTTAAAATATATGTCGGCTTCTAGTTTTGTTTCTTTTTGTTATTAATATGTCTAAAAAGGGAAGTTTTTCCTTGCTGTACTCTATAGTGAATTGGATACTAGGATTTATATTATTAATGGATGCTTGGAATATCCTTAGTCTATCAAGATTTTAATTCCACAAAATGAGACGGTCATTTAAATATCTTTTCCAGTTTTCTTTATGTAGTAGCTGAAGTCATTCACATGGATTTCCGACATTTTTAGTTCATGGTATCGCATGACTAGATTGGCATATATTGGTGCAACCTTTGTCCTCAGGGCTGTTCCTGATTTTTCTCCGTAGGGTGTTTCATTGCACACGAAATAATTGTTCTTTAAAATGAATACAAAGCTTTCTATGATGAAATTTTCATTGGTACGGTTTGGTAGTTCAAAAGAGAAAGTTTCTAGCCAGTATTTAATGGCTTCTATTCTGTAGTCGTGTGGGATGTGGCTATATAGGTTCACATGATCCATTGACATTATGTAAGTATTATGGTTTACCTCGTTTGGTAGATGGTTGAGAAAATCTAGATCATCATCTATGAAGCTCCCAACGTGGTTGATGTGAGGTTTCAACAGGATGTTAAATATGTTGTATACACACACACACTCATATATATATATATATATATATATATATATATATATATATATAGCAGCATATCTTCATTCAAACATGTTTCATTGAATATGTCTATATTATTTAATTAAATATATATATATGTATATGTGTGTATGTCTGTGTGTGTGTGTGTGTATGAATGTTCACACACATTGAAGTTACCACTCAGAGGCGACAGACTGTTTCATGCTAAACGCAATCATCAGGCCTGACGATTGCGTTTAGCATAGAACAGTCTGTTGTCTCTCAGTGTTGACTTCAATGTTCACCTTTATATTTACACACGCGCTATCTCTGATATTGAACACATTATCCGATAAATATAGCACATAGCCGGCTTAAAACTATATTTCTTCACACACACACACACACACATATATATATATATTGAGAAAAACAGAGAGACATAGTTAAATAGATAGGTAGACAAGGATATATATATATATATATATATATATAGATAGATAGATAGATAGATAGATAGATAGATAGATAGATGGGAGTAATAATTTAAAACCCTGGTTCCAAATTTACATTTACATTCACCCCTTCACGACCTCCACACACACACACACACATATATATATATATATATATATATATATATATATATATATATATACGGGTAACTAAATGACAAGGTGGAGAAAAAAGAGAGAGTAATTTATTAGGAGAAAAATGTTTTGAATATTGACTACTTTCGGAAGTTTCTACGGCAAATTTAAGTATCGGGTCTTAGATGTCACCTTTTCTCACGAAACCGCTATTGAGATATTTAAAACAACATAAAAAAAACAATTATAGAAATAATTGCTTTTTTGCTGATATATATGCTTCCCTTCAGAAGGATAATTCAAGCATCCTTTGTAGTTGAGTCGCTCGATATGGTGGGTTTCCCTTACATAATAAGGATGCAGGTTCGAATTCTGTTGAGCTGTACATTCTCTTTATTAAAAAAGCTCTCGAAAAAAAAAGCATATCTGTCTGTCTGTGCTATATATATATATATATATATATATATATATATATATATATATATATATATATATATATATATACATATATATATATATATATATATATATATATATATATATAAAAAAAAAATGAGAAAGAATAAAATATAAACTCAAATGTTCACAACATTAATTTGAAAATAGGGCTCAATATAATAGTAAAGCGATAATTCTTTATTATAGGATATTACATTTCCTTCTGCGTTTGTTTGGGATCACACTCACATATACAGAGACTCACATATATACAGGCGTGTGCATGTTAGTTTGTACATACACACCCATATTCATAATCTTGGGTTAGACGTAGTTACACATTCATACATTCGAGCACACGTATTTACGCAATTTTCATTCTGCCTATTTCAGTATCAAGATTGCAGCATTTCAGAAATGTAGCAATGTCCTGTTCGAAGAAGTCAGGTGTGGGTGGCTTTGACGTTGTTCAGGTCAGCTGTTATGTTATATATATATATATAAGGTTAAAAGTTAATGGTCAGTGTTGGATTAGAGCAGAAAATATTAGTATTAAAAAGTGCTGAAAAATGTGTGAAAGAAAATAAGGAAAGAAAAATAACATATAGAGCTTTTGACATTAAAAATTAGGCGATCAGTTGATTCCGCTACTTGGTTTCAACCGTACGATGTCTTCAGGCGTTTTTATCAACTGACCTCCCAACACTTAAATTGAAAAATAAAAAAAATAAATCGTTGGGAGGTCAACTGATAAAATCGCTTGGGGATACTGTAAGGTTAAAAACTAAAACTAGAGGAATTAACTTATCACCTAATGTTTGATATATATATATATATATATATATATATATATATATATATATATATATATATATAATGTAATGAGAACGAAAATAATATATAAATTCTAACGTTCACAGGTAGTCATTTTGGTTCTCACCAGTCGAGGTGCAACTAAATGCACCAGAAAACGATATATATATATATATATATATATATATATATATATATATATATATATATATATATATATAAGCATGGGATTGGTGTATACGGAATAAATTCCAATAACCAACAAATACTATTCCTAAAAGAGTGCTCCATACAGAGTAGAGCAAATATAATTATTTATTAATAAATTATAACATAAATATGTTATAAAATAACTACAAAAACAGCCATTTTGTTTCACCACTTCTGGTGTCTTATCAAGTGCTGGTGTTGAATCAACAACAGAATAAATAATTATCTATCTATCTATCTATCTATCTATCTATCTATATATATATATATATATATATATATATATATATATATATATATATGATTAATACAAATAAATGTAATCTGTCACTTAGCTGACTGATGTTGCATTCAGCTTCATCCGCACCACGACTCAAGAGTTTCCTAGATGAAATTTCTGGTAATTTTCAATCCACTCTTCAGGCGGTTTCAGCAATTAACTGCCGATTTATATATCAAAGTTTGTAGCCGTTCTAGTAGACTATATAATGAAATTAAAAGAAAGGTATAGTTAAACAAATAGACTGACGTGCCCAAAATCATGCAATAGGTGCATCGAATTGTGCGGGGCTTCTTCAAGACTGGCGAAATGAAGTAACTTGATGTTTCCTTGATTCCACAAGTGTTCCATACAGTCTCTATAGTTGTCCACACCTCCCTGATGATTTTGTGTGCGAAGACTACTCCACCAAATCCTATAAATCCCCGATTAGGGCTCATGTCGAATGAAAGTGTTGATTATACCATTCGTTGGAAATATCCAGAATTTTCCACAAGTCAGTTCTGTCCAATATGCGTCTAATGACACAGTGCATAATCCTGCCGGATTTGACCCAACGTCGCGGTCAGCGGTCAATAACGTCATTTCGGCGAACCAATGAGCACATGCCACATGAAAACACACGACACTATTATCGAATTGCGCATGTAAGAATAAACTCCCATCTAGGGAGATTTCATCGGCAGTGAAATATCATGAAGTAAGCTTTTTATATTGCGTGGTCTTTGCATTCATTCTGATTATTTTCCAGCATATCATTGAGATCTTGTGCGAGGAAAGAAAGGGTGATTTCTGATTGTGGATGAGATTAAGGAGAATGTGATGAAGCAGTTGATGTTAATCTCAGAAGACTTTACAGACTGTTTCGAATAAGAACAAAGGGATAATTGCATGATGTCGCAAGTGGCGTACTTTCAAGAGGATTAAGCCGACATTGCCCTATGTAGGCTATTTTTTCGCTGATATTAAATTGCTGGGTATTTTCCAGACAAAATAATCTCTAATATGGAGATTAATACTGAAGATTGAATAATCTTGCTGGCACTTGATCTTATACGAATTCCACCAGATACAAAGGTGTGAAAAATCAGCAAAGACAACAACAACAACAATAATAATAATAATAATTGTCCAGACCCAAAAGAATAACATTTAGAAAACTATTTATTATGCTTCTCTCCCTCTTTTCTCAATTTTTTCATTTCTTTCTCTTCTTTGAAGGCTCGAAGTACAATGCGAATTTTTCCCGCCAATACATGATCGCTTCCTCTCCTTCCCGCCATTATTACTTCCCGCCGGCTGCCGATAAATACGAGCTGAATTAAGCGAACGATTTCGTTTTCTTTTTGAATTGTAAATATTTGTCTAATGATTTGCTATGGTTTATTTTCGCTCCGGGAACAATCTCAGCAATTATGAAGATATTTTCTGAATTTGTAGCCTCAATTCGAAATCCTACTTTTGAACTTATTTCTGCATCGCGATTAACCAGCGTGTGGGTATTTGTGCATGCGCAGACACTCATACACCCATCCATACATGTACACATATTCACTGATGCACGCACACATGCACATACTCTCTCTCTCTCTCTCTCTCACAGGTTCACACGCACACACGCACACACACACGCACACATATACACGCAGACATATATACAGGGTGTATCAAATATACTTTTACATACTTTGCGGGTGGGTTCCTCACACCGAATCGAAGACAAAAGTTTACATAAACATATGTCTGCAAATCTTTCGTTTTTGAGTTATTAAGTTTTAAAGTTTACTGTAGACGCTGTTAAATGTACAATCCAAGATACAATCCAAAATACTTTTCCAAACTTTGCTACGGATCCTGTCTCAGCAACCCGACGATAAACAGCAGCAAAGATTGGATGAGTCGGCTGCCTTCGATCTGGATACGCAATCTGACACAGCTGTGCAGCCTCGCGTCCATGACCATTCAGCAGCTGTATGTTAAAATAATATCTGCCTGCTCACGATATGAATATCCTGCCATTGTTATACGGAACACTTCCCAGTTGATATACTATTACACACATTATACGTTGGAGACAAATTACCCACAAATGTACACGAAAGATAAATGTAACCTAGTCTACATGGCAACACAGTGCCATCTACCATAAACTTTCTTCAAACTTAATAACTCAAAAACGGAGGATTTGCGGGCATATGTTTATATGGACATTTGTTATTGTTTTGGTTTGAGGAACCCGCCCTCCCCCCAATGTTTCTAAAAGTATTTTGATACACCCTGAATATTGATAAATCTAACCCCATGACTAAATATGAGAAGTTTTTAAAATTGCACCTTTACTGAGTTGATAATTTTTCAATACCAATTCGATTTAAAAGAGACATGAACGAACTAATAGGAATGTGAACATAGATACATTGAGATAGATAGATAGATAGATAGATAGATAGAAATAGATGAGATAGATAGATAGATAGATAGATAGATAGATAGATAGATAGATAGAACCAGAATGAGATAGAACCAGAATGAAATAGATAGATAGAAACAGAATGAGATAGATAGATAGATAGATAGATAGAAACAGAATGAGATAGATAGAAACAGAATGGGATAGATAGATAGATAGATAGATAGATAGATAGATAGATAGATAGATAGATAGATAGATAGATATGAGCAGAATTAGATAGATAGATAGATAGATAGATAGATAGATAGATAGATAGATAGATAGATTTGATCACATAAGCATTGATATAAATAGTGTGGAATGGATAGATGAAAATATAGATATGGACACAGCCAGGTACCTAGATTGAGGTAATATGAATACATAGATAGATAGATAGATAGATAGATAGATAGATAGATAGATAGATAGATAAGCATGCAGGCATGCACGCAAACATGCAGGTAAATGGTGATGAGGCTAAAATAAAGAGATAGAGAAATTTGAACAGGCATAAATATGAATAGACAAAATAAAATCAATAAATAAGAGAGGCAATTATTTTATAGAGATGATATTTCTTTTTCAGCATAATCTCATTCCTTGGCAATACATTTAATTCAATAGGGATATTAATTATATACATCGATCTTATACAGATGAATTCAGTTAATAACTTGGTATCTGGATATTTATTTACTGATAAAAATTCGTACAAAGTATGACATATATGTAAACTACACACGCGCGCTCGTATATACACACACACACACGAAGAGAAATGTTTTCCTCTCACTACCATTAAGCACCGATATACACAACAAAATTTCAAAATTAATCAATTTACCAGACGATCGCAATGGCCGTGAAACCTAGGGTCACAAACTCACATCAACGAACAATATATATATATATATATATATATGTGTGTGTGTGTGTGTGTCTGTCTGTCTGTCTGTCTGTGTGTGCGTGTGCGTGTGTTTACACAAATTCATACTGAAAAGTTGGAAACAACAAGAGTAATATCTATCTATCTATCCCTTTCTCTCTTACTCTCTCTCTATCTCGTTATACACACAGTTATACACACACACACACACACACATATATATATATATATATATATATATATATATATATATATATATATATATACCAATCTTTTCCTATCTAACTAAATATATATGTGTGTGTGTGTGTGTGTGTGTGTGTAGGTGGATGCGTACGTTTTAGCAAAGGCAACAGGAGAATGTTGGTGGGTGTCTACACTTACGTGTTCCCGCGCATGCGCGTCTCACTGTCGTGTCTATTAAAATCAATTATGACACCATCTCTACAGCAGGATAAGTAGTTTTTGTTATTGTCATGATGCAAATCACAAAAGCCCGGACAAAGTATGTTAGTGAATCGTTCCTGAATTAGTGAATCACTGTTTCTGAACGCCGCTTCTCCCCATGACTCGAGCCGTGTAAAGGAGCCGTACCGTTTCGACGCTCTGAATCTTGTTTGCACACGTGAGTCTGCGCTCTTTGTATGGAGACACAAGATGTTTACGCGTTCAAATCTGTTTACACGTACCTGTTTCACGTTTACATCTTCAGACGTTTAAGTGTCTTGAAAAGCGAATCTTGCATAGCTTCGTTCATAGTGTTAATTTTATCTTTAGGAAAATGAGTATCGCACACTATGTAATATCAATACCATTTAATGATATTCTTTTATTTATACTAATGTTAATCCAAATATAAGGATCACGAGCCACTCAAGGCAAAGGATTACTAAATGAGGTGTATGATATGTACGTAAGTGGAGGTAGAAGGAATGAAGATTATGAAGGTGTTGTAGCATACCTAAGAACGATAATGGGTATGTCCCCATTCACATAAATACAGAAGTAAATACTGTATGTTAATCTGCATTTGGAGATTCGTCTCCAGCTGTGCTGGTCAAACTCTCTGCCCCTGAGCAGAGAGGATCCCCAGGCGAGGCTATGTCGAAGGGCAGAGTCTCGTCTCTGGAAACAGCTACCCGACTCCGTTTTATACGGGGTCTACGGGAAATTTTTGCCGAGTCTACGGTCTCGGATACCCCACATTAAATTCGGTCTTGTACCACATCTGACTGCGTGGGACGATTGCTATATATCCTGCATTGGAGATTCACTGTGGAATTCACTTGACTCACTTCTAGTAGTTGACTACTTTTTCTACGCGCCGCTTGCGAATCTTATATGTGTTGTTCTTGTCCTAAGTATTATCGCTCATTACCAACCTTCGTTTGATTATTCTATTCAATAACCTTTCCTAGGTTACAATAGAGGGTAAGGAGGGTAGATAACGACTGACCCTTGACCTAAAGTGCGAAAGATTTTAATTTTCTTGATTGGTTTTTACTGCCTATCAACATTTTGCATGTTTTATAAAGACATATTATTTAGATTGTAACAATAAGAGAGAGTGAAAGGCAAATGTGTGGCGATATGAACACAATAAGAGAAAATTAAAAGCGCTCACCGTGACTTTCTCACACTTTTATGACTGATTTGTTTTTACGGTTTATCAACCCTTTTCTGATTATTTAAAGACAGAAAATATTTTTTTGATCGCAACAATTTTGGAGATAATAAATATTTACTGATACAAGTCCTATTAATTAACCCATAGCTGGGATGAAAAAGGTGTTATAAGATAGAGTTCCTCTGTTAGATTGATGCATTCAATGGATTCAGAGCTAGGAATGCGGTTTCTAAAAGATGAGAAGAGGAAGTCTCTATTGATGTGGTCATATGATGCCGTGAGGTCGACGAAGTAAGTATACAGTTTCCTATTACTGAGGTAAGTAAATTCTTGGAGTTGTTTGATTATATATATGCCATCGTTACATCCCTTACCCGAACGAAAACCAAACTGGGTCGTGAGAAGTTGATTGTCATAAAATGCCTCTTACTCTGTAACACTCTACCTCAAGAGGCTCTAGGGCCTTGTACAGGGTGAACATCAATGTAAAAATAAAAAAAGATTATGACAGATGTTTAACTCATTGCATGCACTTGTATATTTTTCTCGGGTGACCTCGGTGAATTTTGTGTTTTACCAGATAGCAATTTATGATCTGTTTTTACTGTTATATGAGAAAAAATTGACTAATTTTATTTAACTGCATATGTGAACTTTTCATTTCATTTAGTAAGGCAATTCCTTTTATCCAATGTTAATTTTCGTCGCTTTTTAAGCATGAATATATTCAAGAATGGATAAAGAAGTCTTTATTAATAGAATGCATTTACAAGTGCAGTCGACTTACGATTTTTCAACTTGTGACCTCGTTTTCCGTTCCAAGCCCTCTTGTAAATTTGGAACTATCTGTAATAGTCAGCAAACATAACTTTCTAATAGTGAGACGAATTTTATGAAGACGTGCGCGTGCTGAACGGGAGAATTGGAGGCTTTGTATTGATGATTTTTATGCTGACAACCTAAAACACGTGAGTTGATTGCAGCAGCATCTATTCTGAAGTGTCTACTCACATTAAGAAATGCATTGTTGTAAGGAGTAGTCAATACATGCAAACTGGCTGATCCCCAAATCAATCAATATAGTATAAACAGTGGCGCACACACATCACTGGCTATGGCATGACCATCCTTCGCCACCGAGTTGGAGTGGCGAATACCAGAACCTCTCCTAGAAAATCTCTGGCGTTCAAATAACAAAATAAACCTGAAGACTGTTATTTGACAGCCTTGTCCCCAAATACAAGCGGCGAAAAGCGTTCGTTATTAGAGAAAAGGCGATTAGGCACATTTTACGTAGACCAGGGTTTGGCAACCTTCTTTCACAAGAGATAGAAGTTAATACTGTAAGTGGACGATGGCTTCAGTCAATTCTATGTAATAATAATAATAATAATAATAATAATAATAATAACAACAACATCGTAATCAATAATAATAATAATCCGAAGAAAAAATGGAAGCGAATACCATCTACGTGAAACGAGAAAGCAAAACAACTTGGCCAAATGAAATTACAAAAAAATGAGAGGACAAGGCGTTGAATGACAAATACCTAAAAAGAACGAAAGAAGCAGATATGGAAAGAACATCAGTGACTGAGGAGCACCAGACTGAAAGGTGAAACAAAATGTTTAATTATTGCAGCTCAGGACCAAAGCCTCGTAACCAGATCCTATCACCGTCACATAATCAAGAATGGAACTAACCCGAAATGCAGGATCTGCAGAAAATATGATGAAACTGTCGACCATATTATCTCGGGATGTCTGGAACTAGTAAAAACGAATATACCCACAGACATAACAAGGCAGCAACATATGTGCACTGGAAGATATGCAAGAAGCACAAAATCGAAACCACTGAGAGATGGTATGAGCACCAACCAGACACAGTTAGCCAAAATAACGATGTAACTATCCTCTGGGACATGCCAATTCAAACTGACAGGGAAATAAAAGCTAAAAGAACTGATATTATCATAAAAGACAAGAAATTCAGGAAGTGTATGCTTATTGGCATAGCAGTATCATTGGAGGGAAACACCTTCTTGAAAATTATATGACCCATCGTCAAATAGACTGAAAATAGTCGGTTCCTTGTACTGTTCTAGAAAATATCCAGCTCCCCCTGCTAGGTTGTACCTTGACAAGAGTCAGATCATAAAAAGAATGAAGTATTGCTGCCATGTCTTTGGCTAGATCTGCCCAATCCTCTCTTTCTAGCCATTCCAGGGTTTAAAGGCGTTTACACGCCCTTGTAGGTAATGGATTATTTTTTGACAGACTAAACGTCACAACCTTCTCGCTACTCTATCGCTATTTCCACTGCAAATGTTCAGACGAGCTACATTCATTAGTTCCACCAGTTCAGACTTTTACAGCTGGGATCTACTATGTACTCAAGGCCGAATCATCCTCAATTCCCTTCGTATTCCGTTTTTAAGTAGGAAGTTCTACTCAGCTTATTCTAGAGATATTTTTTTTTGTGTGTAACAAACATTTAAGAGGATGTGTCCTCCATTACGGCCATATAGATCTCTTCAAGTCTAGGGTCAACCTTTATCTATCCTACATATGCCCATAATATGCATGTAAAATCTTGTTACAGAATTGTAGAAAATGAAATAGATTTAAGTTATATTACTCAAAAACTAACTCATTTTTTAACCAACCAGCGGCGTATTATGAGACGTGTGGTATTTTTTGAATTTGCAGGCAATTAAGATTTGTTTGCTACGGAATTTTGGGGGATCACATCACAATATGATCAATATTTTCCCCATTTAAAACGGATATTTAAAAATTGTGAAAATACTTATCAGCCAATAAACTTTATAAATCTAATTTTGCAGCTAATATTTCGTTATAAAAGTGATCAATTTTTCGTTCGCTAGTGAGTTTTTCAGTTAACCTTTGACCAAAGGTCATTCGTTTATTATACAAAACTGAAATTTTCACATCTTAATTAATTACTCACATTTTCGCATATTTATTCGAATA